GGTCATTATTGATCGACCAGGGAGAAATCCATGCTGATTCTTAGGGATAAGGTCATTTTCGAAAGCAAATGACTGGAGCTTATCTAATATGATTCTTTCAGCTATTTTGGCGGCGATAGGAACGAGACTTATTGGTCGATAATTTTTAGCGGAGGATTTGTCGCCCTTTTTGAATACAGGGGTAACAGAAGCACTAAGCCAGCATGAGGGTAGGGTATGAGATCTAAAAGACGATGTGAAAATCAAGCTTAATGGTAGGGCCAGTGCTGAAGCGCAGTTTTTAAGTACAGCAGCCGTCATCCCATCTTTACCAGGGGAGGAAGAGGTCTTCAGATTTCGCAGGTGCATTAATACATCTTCAGGCAGGAACTCAACTTCGCAAAGGCTGTTGGGACACCTATGGCAGATAGTGATCGGTAGAAGGTCTCCATTAGGCTCATCGACGAAGTCATCACTAAAGGACTGTGCCAGTAAGTTGGCAGATTCTGTGGCATCCATGTGGAGATGACCGTCAGCGTCGCGGATCTGAGGTGATGAAACTTTGGAATTCAGGTTTGTTCTTAGATACCGAAACAGCTTCTTCTTATTTTTGGAGGTAACGAGTTTTCGTTCATAAGCATGTTTGGCATTATGTAACGTTCTAGATAGGATGTTAGAAAAGGATCGATGAGACACGTAATCTTGTGAATGGCCACTCCTCCTAAACCGTTGCCACAAAGATCTCTTGTGACGAAGCATCCTCGATATGTTAGAGTTGATCCAGGGCTTTGAGGGGTCACAGTATACCTTCTTTTCAACAGTATTGTCAGCCGTTTCGCTTAGGACTCGTTGAGCGAAAGTGTCCCACATATCTTGGGTGCTACGGTTGTTAAGCAAAGCAGGCCAGTTGACTTCAGACAGGGCTTGGTTAAGAGCATCGTGGTTTACAATTTTGATGGTTTTAAACTTATCGGTTGTAGAACGACTATTTATATTGAACTGGAGAGAAGATAAAAGTGAACAATGGTCAGACTTGCCAAAAGGTGGCAAATAATCTAAATTAGAAACAAAGTCTGCGTCGTTAACGAATATCAAATCCAGAGCCCTAGGCGTCTGTCCTTCCCTGAATCTCGTTGGACGATCAACAAGTTGAGATATGCTAGAGTTGCGTAGCAGGTCGATGTAAGCAGCAGAAGAAGAATTGCATTCAGGAATGGTTGACATAGGCCAGCTAATGTCACGTAGATTGAAGTCACCAGCTATGAAAAGGTTGGTGTTTTTATTTAAGAGATCTGAAATGAGACTGCACAGGTGTGTGTCTCCCAAACAGGGCCGTGGCCGATATATGCAGCCTATCGTGAAGCTGAAATTTGGGCACCTCAATTCCAAAAATAGATTGTCAATGCCATCGAAAGGACTGAAAGAGGGAGATATCGAGAAAGCCGACGCGATTTCCGTGCGAACATAAATGCATACTCCACCAAAACCAGGAGTGCGTGGTGAATCCATTCTGTATAAATAGTATCCAGGTAAATTGATGGAAGAGTCGGACACGTTGGAATGGAGCCATGTTTCAGTAAGACAAACGAACGTTGGATTATTGTCTCGAACAAATGCTTGGAGTTCAAGTAGCTTAGAAAAGAGAGATTGTATATTAGTGTAACAAACCGTCCAGTTTGCCACAGAATTTATCAGTTTTTTGAAGGTGTGATCTCCTGGGTAGCTGTGTGTACTATAGAAGGTTTACCACGAACGTATTTTATAGTAATATTACTTTCGCCTGTTGTTTGACGACGTCTAAGCTCTTCGCGAAGGTGTTGTAGTTCTTGCATTTGACCTCTGGTTTTGTCGTCAGAGATTTTTACGTGACGAAGCGTGGGGTGGCTAAGGATGGAGTTTTTCTTCCGCAAAATATTGCTGACGATAATAGGTGAGGTAAACACAACTCTAATTAAACGATTGCTTGAAGTTGTTCTGCCAAGGCGAGTGATGCTGAGTCGGTGATTTTCGGCAGATGGTTCAATATGCCTAATTATCTCTGATACTATGTTTATGTCATCGTTACCTTCAGCTATGCCCCTCAGAATGATATTGTGGGAACGTCTAAATAACTCCACTGTCTCAGCTTGGGAGTTTGGGGCAATAGGGGTAGAAGAAGCGCCGTTGCCTGAGTGCATCGTCTCCATAGATCTTGCAAGTCTCGACTCAATATTAGCAATGTTAGAAGACAGCTCTGTTTGAGTAACCTGGATATTTTGTATGTTGGTTTCGCAGGCCGCTATTAAGTCATCATGCCGAGAGATCGAGTCCGAATGTTGCTGTAGTAAGTTTCTACAATAAGCAACATCAGTTCTGAGTTGAGATTGAGAGTTCTTAATATCCTTTATGTCACTTGCCATAGTTGATAATTGGTTAAGTATAAGGGTGAGAGTGTCGGTAGGGGTAGACTTTTTTACATTATCCCCATCTTCAGGATCTTTCATGTTTTTATTCTTCTTTCGTACAGTCTGACTCATGTTCCCTTATTCCAGCGGTTATTTCCGGATTACCCTATACACTCTGTAGACTAGTTTCTTAATTTGATTTGACACTATTGACGAAATGTCCAAATGACAAAATGGAATATATGGTAAAAAGGCTGAAGATTACTCCCACGGCTCTGGAAACTATCGCCAACAGGTCCACGGACGTACCTCTTCCCGCTCGTAACTTGAACACCTCTGGTTTTAAATATTTTTGGCTTTTCTCCGATATTTTGAAGTATTTACAGTGAATACTAATTTAGTAGTCTACTTTTTAACTTAAGATGTCATATATATATATGTCACTTAGTATATAAATTTTCAAAATAAAGCAGGAGTATATGGAATATGGTAAATTTTGTTCAAGAAATCAGATCAGTCGCCGTGAGAAAGATATTTCAGAGGCGTTGGTAAATTGGTGGTATAGAGTGACGCAAAAGCAATGTCTTTAGCAGATAAAAATTATGATAGATGAAGTGGGTGTAGCTAAAACCAAGGTGGTCCAGAATCAAATTTGCACTACTGCTTGCAAATAAACTTCTGGACTGTACATTTCAATATTGTAAAAAGGCCCTCAAGATGTGTGTGTGTTAAGGAATGCGTTCACGGGAAATTGCAATAGGTAGCTTGAATCCTTCTAGCCCTCGACGTAAGATTTAGTAAGCTGCATGTAATTAGTCATACAAGAAAACAAATGAAGAGGTAATCAAAATGATCCAGAGCCACCTCTTCATAACTATTAGCAAAAGAAACATTTCTCGGAGTTGTATCATTTCAATTTTGTATAAACCGCACTTAACTCTAAGATACGAACCCCCTAGCTGCATGTTGTCTCTTTTAGTTTCAGTGATATGAGTGGATTAATATAGCTGAAGAGAATGTTGCCTCCAAGAAAATTATGTCGCATATTTTTGCACGGCTAAATCCACTAGAACCCCATTGGAAGAAATTTATATTAGCCCATACAAATAGAAGGACGACATTGATTTTGTTCCAATAGGACAAAGCCCAGCAATGCCAGAAACCGGTTATGAGCTTTACTATTACTTTGAAATAACTCCAGTGCTAACTATGCTTGGTCAGAAGCTTTCTGAAATTGTATTTAGAGTAATCAAGGCTACAGGAGGCTTATACAAAGGGTACTATTTATATGAAAGTTTTGCAATATGACTTAACAAACGGACGCAGGAGGCTGCATGTTACTGCATGTTAAGACATATCTATAAGTGCCTAGTAGCCGCCAGCAGCACGTCTGTTGATTTTTGTTCATTCGTATTGACAGTGTAAAGTGCGGACTATGGCATCACGGTCACGTAGTGAGATAAGGGCAGTTTAACTTTACGCTCGGTTAAACATAGACCAGTGCTTAGAAGAAATGATGCTTGTATTAAACAATGATTGTCGTGATCGTACGACTATATTCAGGTGGTACAGAGAATTCCAAAGCTGTAATTTCACTGTGGAGGACGCTGAGAGGGAAGGAAGGCCGCGAATGTCAGTGATAGGGGAAAACATTACTGCTGTGAGGCAAATGCTTGACGAAGACCTGAGAGTGTCATACCATCAGATAGAGGAGACCTTACACGTTAATGCACCAGCAATTCATTCAATTCTGCATGACTATTTACACATAAGGAAACTTTGTTCTCTCTCTCATATTCTGACGGAAGAGTAGAAGACTCGTCGTACGACTTGGTGCCGAAAGATGCTGAAAATGTTTGATCAGGAGCAATCTCGGTATGTAAACAGCATCGTGACATGTTAAGAGACTTGGCTCTATAATTATGATGTGCCGACCAAGGCGCAAAACAAAGTTTGGGACTTTGATGATGCTGTCAGAAAGGTTGACCTGCTAAGAAAAAAATGATAGCTGTATTTTTCTAACCGAGCGGGAAAAACCTGCGGCCAAAGTCAAGAATCGAAACTTGGTACCACCACCCTGACAACGCTCCAGCTCACCGCACCAAAGCCTGCACCGAGTATTTGACCATTACTACTAGAGTGAAGCTTATGGAGCACCCTCCTTACAGTCCAGATCTTGCTCTCTGCGACTTTGCACTGTTTCCACATGTGAAAATGAAGCTAAAAGGATAACCGTTTTCTAGCGATGAGGACCTTCTGAGAGCTTGAGACAACTCCTGGGTGAAACTTGGCAGAGCTGGTTTAAGGACTGGTTTTTACGGTTGGACAAGTGTATTGAATGTGGTGGAAATTGCTTTGAACGGAGTCAATAAATAAAGCTGTATTGCAAAACCTTAATAGTTCGCTTTGTATTTAAACGAGGCAACATAGACAGACGGTTTGATTGCTAGGTGTCAATTTACGATATCAATACATTACAATAAGTGGGCGTAGGCCATCATGGTTTAATTAAGGCTCTATGAATTACTATATTAAAAACCCTGTATAAATGCACATAACTGTAAGATATAATTGTGTAGCTGCATTTGATGCATCTTGCCCGCCCCTACTCTAACGCATACCCCCTCCCTTGTATGTTCCAGCAGCACCCCCGCCCCAGTCCTTCGAGAAAGTCATCAGCGACTGCAGCGGCCGTCGCGGCAGTGGTGACCGCCTCGTCAGTTCCCGCCGCTTCCGCCGGAAGTGGCACCGGAACAAGTTCCTCCCTCCACCCGCCTTCAAGACGCCCGTCATCGAGCGCAGGCGCGGGCGGCACCACAGCCAAACAAATGACTGTTCAGTCGCAGTCGGGTGCGCATTCGAATAGGCCGCAGGAGGACTTGATAGCTACGGCCGCGTCGGCCTTGAGGCGACTGCATTTCAAGACGGGCAGGAGCAGCGGGATTCAGAAGAATGCGCAAGCTAAGCAGGTTTGTTAGAAGTAGTTATGGGTATTTACCAAGCTCTGGCATCAACAGTCTTTAAACATACAAAGTAAGTAAGAATTCCAAAGGAAGCAGCCTAGTAACTTCACTCTAAGAACGTACTCGGCACCCCTACTACGTAACTGAAAAAAGACGTGGATAGGGATCTGATTACCCTATTTGTCCCTTTAGGACTAGCTATCATTCAGTTCATGCTTACTTGTATTAGCTGAGAGTGTTTCGTGCGGGAAATGGCATCAGAGGGCACAGTGAATGATTTTTCTCCTCTCTCTCATAAAGAATCCTGGATGTCACCACCTTTTGACCGTTTATATAGGCTGGCAGATACAGTGTATCCTTCGATACAGCATCAAAGACCTCTCGGCAACAAAGAGCGTACTGTTGGAGATGCTAGTATGCCGAGGCATCTCCTGGAAGCCAAGTAATTGGAGCCCTATTAGCTAGGGGATGCCATGGTATTTGATACTGGAGCACCAAGGGAAGGACTGTAGGAGAAAACATCGGAAATAATTTCCCTCGTCGGTAGTGCATACCGATACGAAAAATTACTCGCGATACCGCGAGTATCAGCCGACATTCCTCCAGCCTACGACACTCTGTACCTTAGCAATCAGGGGTGCCACGGCATCCTTCATCCTGTCGCCGCTGTATTACATGGCATGTCCTTAGATACTCCAAGAAGGGTTTTTTATTTCGGCATCGAATATCTTGTGACATACCGCACCACAACATACCAATGAACACTCATCGAATTGCGATGGTTCAAACATTTTTCTCTTCCGGTATCGGAGAGCATGCCGTGAAATCTTGTGATGGCGTGTCACGGCATCTCTTGGCTGCTAGGCTATAGAAGTTGTCGCTCACAGGTTATCACAAGATGTGGAAGAACTCACACTGAATCGCGGAGAATTTTTTTGATGCCGTGAGGCAAATCCATTATACAAGCTCTTTTCTGCCACTTACTGGTGTATGCTAACCTATATTCAAATACCATGTGCGATGAGTATTTGGTGATAACTTGTGATTTGTTTTCCAGTATAGCATCAAATAAGCTGAGCGATGGCGCTAGCAGACTGTTAGTGATGATTATAAGTAGTCAATGAGGTACCAGAGCTTGGTGAATACGGCCTATAGCATAGTCAAACCCTACATGAATGAATGCAAAAAATATAAGCCACAGGAAAAAGCAGAACTTATACTGCCCATCGGTCAAGTTTATACAATATCATTGTGAATTAAAGCAAAATTATTAGTCTTGTTATTAAACCTCATATGCAAGTGCAAGATATCTGCATACAAGAAGCATGACTTTGAGGCATGAACGCTAGATATGCTGGACGTATTGCTATAATGGCTCTTAACAAACCCGCATGTGAAATATAATTCACCACTGATGAGAAAAAGAAGATTGTAAATACAAATTCTATAATGCATAAAAGCTATATCAAAGACGGTGTATAGTATATATTTTATTAATATATAATCGGGACGGATTTTCACTAATTTCAGGGAAATGTATCGGATGTGAAACGGTTGATACTGATTTGATTAGCTTGGCATATATTTTGCGTAAATGTCTCTAATAAATCAATTAAACATGAATATGCTTGCATCATAAAAGCGTATTGTCATCCACAACTCATTATTTGATACAGTATATGAAATAATATAAAAGTTAAAAATAAATTAACTAAAATAGGAGTGATTGATTATTTCGGAGACCATAGCCGTCTACATCAGTTGCCCAAGGCGGGTATATCTCCAGTTCGAAAACGATTCTAGATTACAGTCAAACTAGACCCTTGATTTTTACCATTGCAGTACAGATTTCTAATATCGTTACGTAAGGATTTGTACTTGTGGGTGTTAATAAAATAAACAGGCACAGTTAGTTTGAGGTTAGGAACAACTTGAGTGTCAAAATGACATTTATCTTTTGATCTGACAAATAATTACTGCACAATATTTGCACCTTTCCTAGGCCTCGGTTAACTCCACATAACACAGATTTTACATTTAAATATTTGTGGAAGACTAGCTTCCTGCCGCGCGGTTTTACCCGCGGAACGTGTTGCTGACACCACTAATGAGGTAACGAAATTTCTCAAGCATGCAAGTTGGCTGCTGATTTACTAATGCCATCAGAGATACAAAACGTGACGTGAAGTTCAGAGCGTTACTTGAAAGTAATTTTTTATGTTATTAACAGTTTCAAGCGTGCGAAGTCGCGGCTAACAGGTTGAGTGCGGCAATGACTGGCGGTACTGTTGCCGGCTTGACGCTGACGGTGGAGATTTTGACACTTGCAACGACAGTTGATTGCAAGACTAATGATGAGTTCGTAGATACAACCATGCCTATAACCTTCCTCGGGTATCATTTAGTAGGTGTACAAATTTTTATCTCTCTCCGTATTGTGGTTCAGGCGAGATGCTGACAGACTGGATTAACGATGACTTTCATATACAGGGTGTTTCAGTTTATTGTTGTATAACTTTAAGATTCGATAGAACTTTTAAAATTAACGCATAAAGTCTATATAAACATGGGTCGAAAAATGCGTGGCTTCCGAAATACAGGGTGTTTAAATTTACTTTTTAAAACATTTTTTTTTTAAATATTTAGAACAATATTTGATGTATAACTGTGAAAATTGGTACACAAAGGTTTTCTGGTACGACAAAACGAACCATGGGCATAGTTTTACTGTAGCCGCTAGAGGACGCTCCCTACTGTACCTGTAGTGTATTAAAATGACCGAAAATTTTTTCTTAGTGCTATTTTTTGCTTTTCGAATGAAAAAACTGATTCTTCGCACTTTTCTCAATAAAAAAGCTCTCCTGTGAGTTTTCGTTAGAGTTAGCCGTTTTTGAGATATTTCGATTTTTAAGGTTCGATGCATTTTTAATTATCTATGGGAAAATAATATTTTTTTTAACATTTTCGATTTGGGCATTACAAGTAATTAATATGATCGTTTAGATTGTGCTTTTAAACACAGCAATAATTCCTAACTCCAAATAAACACAAAAAACCAGAATATTAATTTGTTTAATTTTCCAATATTATTTTTAACAAATTAAATTAATTATTTTCAACTAAAATGCTATTGGATAGTTAGGACAAACATAAAAAATCTAAAGTAGTTGCTCGAAATGTAAATCCAATTGTTCAATACACAATTTACATCTACGAATGATCGAATGTGGTATAGCATTATTCAAATAAGGCCTTATTTCATCACATGCGTTCCTGATTCTGTCTATTAGCATATCTCTTGTGGTTACGGGAGTCTGGTACACTTTTTCTTTTAGAAATCCCCACACAAAGAAATCTAATGGATTTAGGTCAGGGGATCGTGGAGGCCAGGCGACTGGTCCTCCACGGCCGATCCATCTTTTTGGATAATTTTCGTCCAGCCAGTTTCTAACTATTCTCGAATAATGAGCTGGACAACCATCAAGCTGGAACCAGGCCAATCTTCTTAAATCTAACATAACATCATCCCACATATTTGCATGTTCAGCCTTTAAAAATTCCAAGAAGGTCGCAGCATGTAACCCTGCAGGCAAAAGGTAGGGTCCAAATAGTCGATTACGGTAGATACCAATCCACACGTTCACACTAAATTCATGCTGAAAATTTCTTTCCCGAACTGCATGTGGATTTTCATGCGGCCAAATATGTTGATTATGAAAATTTACCACTTCACGTCTAGTGAAGCATGACTCATCGGTCCATAAAACGTTACTTAAAAACTCCCTATTATTATCAGTTCTATCAAGAATCCACTGACAAAATGTGATTCTTCGTTCTCCGTCCCCTGGCTGTAGTCCTTGCACAGGTTGCAAATGGTAAGGACGTCTATGGTCATTTCTAAGAACACGGTGAACATGGCTTGCTGAAATTCCCACGGCACCAGAAACTCTCCTAACACTTGTGGTCGAATCTCTATCAAACTCACGCAGAATCATACGGGTGAATCTGCGCTGACGGACATTTATGTTTTGATCCCTTTGGAGATTTCCAAAACCATTTTCAATTATTTGGCGATGCACTCTTACAAATACTGAGCGAGTTGGATGGCGTCTGTTTGGAAATCGTCGTGCGTATTCTCTGGCTGCTTCTGCTGCGTTTCCATTTACAAAGCCATACACAAATGAATATCCGCTAACTCTTGATTGGAGAATAAAAATGGCATTTTTATAAAACTTACAAAAAAAAAACAGGTAAAAGAAACTAAATTTCGTGTATGCACAATTGCAAAAAACCTTTCAGGTTTCAACAGACAACAAAACTAGCTGTCAACTAATTGACGTTTAACCTTATTCTGCTTTCAATTTCAAAAATATTTGCAGGCACAGCCTACTTCTAAAAATTATCGAGATACTGACTTTTTAACGTTATTTTATCATAAATAATTAAAAATGCATCGAACCTTAAAAATCGAAATATATCAGAAACGGCTAACTATAACGAACATTCACAAGAGAGATTTTTCATGTTGAAAAGTGCGAGGAATCAGTTTTTTTATTCAAAAAGCAAAAAATTGCTCTAAGAAAATTTTTTCGGTTATTTTAATACACTACAAGTACAGTAGAGAGCGCCCTCTAGCGGCTACAGTAAAACTATGCCCATGGTTCGTTTTGTCGTACCAAAAAACCCTTGTATACCAATTTTCACTGTTATACATCAAATATTGTTCGAAATATTTAAAAAAACTATTTTAGAAATTAAATTTAAACACCCTGTATTTCGGAAGCCACGCATTTTTCGACCCATGTTTATATAGGCTTTATGCATTAATTTTAAAAGTTCTATCGAATCTTAAAGTTATGCAACAATAAACTGAAACACCCTGTACAGAGAAGAATATGCTGGACTACACAGCATTAGAGTTTGCTAGATAAGAGATGAATTTACGTTTTCCGCCTAGCGCAACTACAGATTGTATGATAAATGACCCAATAACAATTTATTTACAGCTTTCTACTTGAAGTAAATGGACGCACCAAACAAATGTAGATCAAGACGATCACGCTAATGTCGAAATGCAGTAAATGCCGGATTCAAATACCCTATTTACGTACCTCTCATTTCGCGTCAGACACATCATGTCAATTACATTAAGTCGTTTGGGCTGGAGCCCGTGAAATAGATATGCCAAAGCTATTTTCAAGAATAAAAAGTAGCCTATGTATTATTGCAGATTATAATCTTTTTCTGAACCAAATTTTATTCAAATTCGATGAGTCATTTGAGTAACAAATTTTCACATTATCATTTATCTTAGTAGGGACGTGCAGTATTGAATGTTTCGTAGACTTGTTATTAAAGTCCTTATGAACATAGCCAAAGTGCAGTTATACGTTTATGGCTCTTCAATACCCCAAAAACTTTTTGGCGCTTGTTATCGAAGAGCATACTATGGAATCCCGCGGCGGAATGTGTGACATAGCTCAGTTCACGCTGTTGAAAGAGAAATTCCTATTGATACACTCTTCCGATGTACATATATCTCGATGTTTTAGTTCTAATATCAGTATGGTGTGAACATCTTCAACTTATTGGTCAGTTATTCAGATTGACCAGTTAAGAGTCAATGTTTTTTTATATTTGAACCACCACGAAGGCCTAAAACACCCGCGGGTAACGTGGGGCTATAGGGGGATACATGAGAAAAAGGGGACGTGAAACGGACTCAAGCGAGGCGACATGTGTGCATGCGACATGAACACATTCTGGCCCCGCCTTGGTGTTCCGCCGGGTGGTACCTACTCGTTCGAAAGTCCGAGGCCGTCTACAATCTACGGACACATATCACGACTTCTTAATCAAAAAAAAATTCTTGCGATGCTCAGCTCACGGTTACTGATTAGTAGTCACGTCTACCATTAAGAAACCGCTCACGCCTGGATAACAAATCAAAACAATGACACCTCGTGTAATAGGCATGACAACAATTCATTATCAAATCGACTTTATACGCACTATCAACAGTAGGTTAACACTTTGTTTTTCATCCAAACTTGGCTTATAGGCGGATACATTTGCGAATTAAGCCTGGACCACATAATTTCCTGGTTAATTAGATTAGCATTTCAAGGATGGAAACACCCCTCGATTAAACACCCCCTGGTATATAACGGCGTGCGCGTTATGACAAGCAAGCGGAGGCGATATATCCGTATATAAGGATATTACGCAACTTCGATATCATTTTTAGAATAATAGATAGCTAAGAGAGGATGCAGAAATAGAAACAAAACAAGTCACTTGAAGAGAATGTCTCGCAAAGATGGACCTACAGATATCTTGACGTCACTTCTGCTATGTGATATAGCGCAGCTATGCCGGTTATTAGATTGCAGTGACTAAAAGCCTTCACACTCTTTCATAGTCCAAGTTAGAAAAGCCAAGCCAATGTAAGCCCTTGAACTTTGACAGCCCACCAATTAGCGATTCTGAAACACCGAGATCTTGAATTCTTTAATTTTCGCTTTTATGCTCAAATGTAGTATCCATGAATAAATTAATTAACTCATCTTGGATTTCAAACTTCCAACTTGACCTGCTCAAAAAATGGCGTAATCAGTTCAGCACAAACTAGACCCTCTGAGAAAAAAGGCAGTCAAACAAATCCATTCAGTAAGTCCATATACATTATTTCCCTGCACTACCGGTAGTGCATCTGGCAACAGATCGGCCAGACGTGACAGCGCGGTCAGAGCAAAGCGTGAAACAACAATGCCCCAAACACCAACAAAACTAACCAAGGCCGGCGTCAGGTCGCGTAGCTGGTACCAGCAGCCGCAGCCGCTAGGTACGCGATCGGTTTGCTGAGAGTATTTTGAGAGCTAATGTAGGAAGAAAAATATGATGTGTGAAATATGTATAATAGGTGCTTAGAGTTACCAAGATATTGAGCGCATAAGCCTACTAACCTGAAGAAACTGATATAAGCCCTTCCCACCCCCTACAACCCCGACCACCAAGCGTCTTTACCACTGCTTTTTTAAAACATGATCAGGATCCTCTAAAATGTCAAAAAACGAAGTTTGAGCGATTTTAATTCTTTCTCGTTTTTGGCCTTATTCTCTGCCGCGACTGGATCGATTTTCGAAAACTACAAAGCTTTTGCGTCTTTGGCACAGTAGTAACATTTTGTAAAAATTCCATCATAATCCCAAAGGTACTTACTTCTCAAGTTATATAGTGTCATAAGATTAGCGGACAGATCGACAGAAATTAGTGACATGGTTTTTCGCAGTGTAAGGTAGGAGCGGGCAATTACGCCCGGTGGTTAATAACGCCCGCTTTTAAATTTGGCGCTTCGCACTGGATTATTTGAAGCTAACCCAGGTTATAAGGAACATACTCGACTGTAGTAAGTCGAAGACAGTGATATTCGACGCGATTAGCGAGTTTGCGCAGTCAGTTATAACCAAGCATACAAAACAGGTGATTGTGCGATCCATTTTATAAAATTAGGTGCTGCAAATAAGTAAGTGAATTTGTATTTTAGCATGATAAATGGTTGTTATTTTCCACACGTAATGCTTGAGGTCTATGACAAGCGAATAGCTAATAGTTCTACTTGTTATGATGTTTTTTTCCTTGAATTGGCTATTTTTGCTTTAAGTCGTGGAGCGTTATTAAACAGCCTAAGCGGGCGTTGTTAAACAAATGAAAATATGATATTTTTAAACTATTTCAGAAGCGATTAGGCATGGAAATGAAATCGTCAACGCCAGTTCGAAAAAGAGGTGTAGGATGGGACGAAGCGAATATGGAGGCAGCCATTCTGTCAGTATCAAGGGGGAACTTAACTCAGAGAGCTGCGTCGGAGAGATATCATATTTCCAGAAGAAGACTTTGGGACCACCTCAAAACCGGAAAATGCGTTAAAACATTTGGCCGAAAAGCCGTGCTAAATACAGAACAAGAGAAAGATCTAGTGCAAAGGATTCTGCGTGTGGCCGATATAGGGTTGCCGCTTACCTTGAAAACGTCACGTTTTAATGTTTTCAAGTTCTGTGAAATAACAACATCCCAAATAATTTCAATACAGAAAGCCAACAAGCAGGAAAGGATTGGATGAAATCTTTCTTAAAAAGAAACCCTATTGTATCAAAAAGGAAAGCACACTTTATGAATCAAGCAAGAGCGCAAAAACTGAATAAGTTCATAGTAGAGGACAATTTCAAAAAAATTGGTAACTTATTAGATAAATTGGAGCAACCTGAGAAAATCTTCAATATGGATGAGAGAGGTTGCCGTATGACCCTTCACCATCAACCTACCGTACTTGCACTACGAGGTGTGAAGAAGATTCATCTTATCTCAAATGAACCTGCCGAAAATGTTACAGTGGTGGGATGTGTATCCGCCATTGGTAATCCAATTCCACCAATGATAATTTTCAATGGTAAAAGAGCTAAGCCAGAATATTGTGACGATTTGCCAATGGGCACTATAGTAAGGATGTCCCCTATAGGTTATATGACCACCGATCTCTTTGTTGATTTTATAAAGCACCTTTGCCAGTTTTAAGCCACCTGGCAAAGTCCTCTTAGTGTTTGATGGTGCAGCATGTCATTTGGACTTGAGAATAGTTAATGGCGCTGAAGAGCATGATATTACCCTTTATTGTCTACCATCAAACACAACGCATGAACTAAAGCCGCTTGACAAATCTGTCTGTCGTTCTTATGAACATCACTGGGACGTAGAGTTGCTAAAGTATCAATCTGAGAATCCAGGCCGGAAAATTTATAAAATCAGCTTCAACAAGATTTTTACCAACGTTTGGTCCAAGTGTATGACCAACTCTAATATAAGTAGTGGATTTAGGGCTGTAGGTATTTATCCTTGTAACCCCCCACAATGGCGTTCGCTCCATCGATCCTTATGCAATGTTTACTGCCTGAGACCAACATGTCAGAGGACGTCAACCAAGGGTGTCAGAAACATTTTATTTCCAAGACAAAAAGAAAATGCCGCCTCACACATAGTGGATTCATCCGATTCCGAAGATTACTTGCCACTTCAAAAACGGATTAACTATCATTCTAGTACTTCGTTCCAAAAACTTCTGCCAACACCAGCTATGAAGCAAGCTGTTACTGTTAAACCACCACGGAAAAAAACAATGAACTACAAAGCACAAACGATTACTAAGGACTTGTTCCAGCAAAATCCATCGAGTTCAAGGATTATTCCAGATCGACTTACAGATTGGTATTGTCAGGCTTGCAAAGAAAATCGTTTATCAAACATGAGACAGTGCATGAAATCCCAAATCTGGTACCATGAGGAGTGTGTTGGTCTGACAGAAAGCGATTTAATTTTTGAATGCCCAGAGTGTTAGTAATTCACTTCATGCTTTTTTTGTTAATGAAGGACTGCTCTAATAGTACTCGTTGCATTATTTAAGTATTTATTGTTCTTTTTCACTTTGCAGCAAAGAAACATGTTTCTTTCGTTCCTATTAGAAAGTTTTGTGTGGGTGATAAAGCCCAAGCATTGAAGAATTTTTTTTAAAATGTGAAATAGTTTTAAGCAGTATATTTTTGTTTACTCTTATGTATCTTACACTGCATTTCCCATAGGGCGTTAATATACTATTAGGTGGTTAATAACGCCCGAAAACACCATTTTTTTAAATGGCCTATAAAGGTCCTGTGATGCTTTAAGAGCTAAAAATGCGGTTTTGGCATTTCTAACCTGGTCAGCAAAGAAGTTACAGGCTGAAACTGAATCAAGAGTGTTCCCTTCATTAGTAGCTATAAGGCCATATTTTTTTCGGGGCGGTCGAAGGGGTTGATTTCACCACTTGAATGTCAAAAATGCGTTTTTTTGCATTTCTTACCTAGCCAGCAAAAAAGTGTTAGGCTAAAAATGAATCAAGAGTGTTCCTTTCATTAGTAGCTATAAGGCCACATCTTCCTCGGAGCCTTCGAAGGGGTTGATTTCACCACTTGAACATCAAAAATGCGTTTCTTGCATTTCTCACCTGGCCAGCAAAAAAGTTACAGGCTAAAAATGAATCAAGAGTGTTCCTTTCATTAGTAGCTATAGGACCACATCTTCTTCGAAACTGTCGAATGGGTTGATTTCTCCACTTGAACATCAAAAATGCGGTTTTTGGCATTTCTCACCTAACCAGCAAAAAGCTACTGGCTAAAAAGTGGTCCTTTCATTAGAAGCTATAAGGCCACATCTCGTCCGGAGCCGTCGAAGGGGTTGATTTCACCACTTGAAAGTCAAAAATGCGTTTTTTGCATTTCTCACCTAGCCAGCAAAAAGTTACAGGCTAAAAATGAATCAAAATTGTTCCATGTTTTAGTAGCAATAAGGCCACATAGATCCTATCTTCTTCGGAGCCGTCGGAGGGGTTGATTTTACCCATTGAACGTCAAAAATGCATTTTTTTGGATTTCTCACCTCGTCAGCAAAAAAGTTACAGGCTCAAAACGGATCAAAAGTGTTCCTTTCATTAGGAGCAATAAGGCAACATCTCGTTCGGAGCCGTCGAAGGGGTTGATTTCACCACTTGAACGTCAAAAATGCGTTTTTGGCATTTCTCACCCCGTCAGCAAAAAAGTTACATTCTGATAATGAATTAAGGGTGTTCCTTTCATTAGAAGCAATAAGGCCACGTCGAAGAGGTTGATTTCACCTCTTGAAAGTCAAAAATGCGTTTTTTGCATTTCTCAACTAGCCAGCAAAAAGTTACAGGCTAAAAATGAATCAAAAGTGTTCCATGTATCAGTAATAATAAGGCCACATAGATCCTATCTTCTTCGGAGCCGTCGGAGAGGTTGATTTTACCCCTTGAACGTCAAAAATGCGGTTTTCTGAATTTCTCACCTGGCCAGCAAAAAAGTTACAGGCTAAAAATGAATCAAGAGTGTTCCCTTCATTAGTAGCTATAGGGCCACATCTTCTTCGAAGCTGTCGAATGGGTTGATTTCTACACTTGAACATCAAAAATGCGGTTTTTCACATTTTTCACCTAACCAGCAAAAAGTTACTGACTAGAAATGCATAAAAAGTGTTCCTTTCATTTGAAGCTATAAGGCCACATCTCGTTCGGAGCCGTCGAAGGGGTTGATTTTACCACTTGAAAGTCAAAAATGTGTTTTTTGCATTTCTCACCTAGCCAGCAAAAAGTTACAGGCTAAAAATGAATCAAAAGTGTTCCATATATCAGTAGTAATACGGCCACATAGATCCTATCTTCTTCGGAGCCGTCGGAGAGGTTGATTTTACCCTTAGAACGTCAAAAATGCATTTTTTGGATTTCATACCTAGCCAGCAAAAAAGTAACAGGCTGAAAATGAGTCAAGAGTGTTCCTTTCATTAGAAGCCATAAGGCCATAATACCCTCAGGTACCTTACATGTCATATAACATCCAAAAGACAATTTCTCATTTTAGAAAGTTTTCGCGATTGCAATACTTCTCCGCCAGTAGGCGTGGAAAGTAAAAATAAATATGAGAAGGGGAACTTTAAATAAAAACGATACCAACCATATAGAAATATGTAAGTTCCAACACTGTGTTGAACAGGCGATTGCAGAAAAGACCCGATGTACCGACGTAAACACCGTATAATCGTTGCCTATTTCATATTGCACAATTCCAACATGAAATTTTTCGAATAATACCCATCGAATCGAAAACATGTTGACTACTAATTTGATTAATTTGGCCTATATTTTGTGTATATGCCCAATAAATCAATTAAATGTGTTTGCATCGCTGGAGTAAATTATTCGAAACCTATTTCCGAATTTCCAATACCAAATCCCAGGAATATAGTATTGTTTGCTGTGCATTTTGGTACCGACCTATTTTGACTATATCCAGTTTGCTATATTAAGTAACAATTTGGTTTTGACGTTAGTAATTATTCCACTAAAGAAAATAATTGTCAGATGGTCCTTTTGGTTTATACTGAACCAATATAGTTACTTGTGTATAAGGAGCGCAAAGATTTGATTTGCCGCTCGAAGAATGGAACCATTTTTTTATATACAGGTAGCCACAGCACTTCACTTTTGTTTAGTATACTTGTAAAATATTTTTCGCTCTAGCGCGGTAAAGCTTACATTTGGGATCAGTCATTGAAACACGTAAGTCTAACACTGCGCGCAATAACATCTACTTTCAAAGCCGCTTGTATCCAGGGGTGTATATAAAATTTGAGTTCGGGAGGGGGCCATAGGTCTCGGGGGAGGGGGTATCCATCAAGAAGATCACGATCTTGAGTTATATGATCATGATATTTTTGAAATCGAAAATAGTCAAAATGAAGCAAAATAAGTTCCAAACCATCAGTTGCCAATTGGACATCGTTCCAAGAAATGAACATGACAATTTTGGTTTTATTTTCATAAGTCTTTTCCGGAATTTTGGAAAGGTGGGTCGAAATAATATTGAAAAGAATTTCGCTCATACTGGTAGAAAAACAATATTATTCGTATCTTTCCGAGGGAGTTGACATCTATCCATTTAAATGTGAATGCAGTCTAGTTTGTCAGCATCACGTCTGAACCACAACATTGCTACATACATTTAATAACTGAAGCTCGAGGAAGGTTTTTAGGTATGGTTAGGTTTGCGAAAATATACAGGGTATTTAAGAAGTATGATTAGGATATTTAAGAAGTATGATTAGGTCAAAGCATCTCTGAAAATACGTATCCTAAAGAAAGATGTTGTAGAAAAAGTTGTATCATTTTAAAATATTCATGTAATCGTGAACTTGAACGTGATCTCGTCTCTGATCTTCATGGTCATTTGAAGGTCAAGACAATTTTCTTAAATGAAACCCCTATTTTTGACACCGGCACGGGTACTACGTATTTGGAAAAGTGACATTATGCCGATTTCTTTTGACATTGTATTTTTTTTTTACATTATATAAGCTTTCCTACAAGATGTTAACTTAGCACTAGCTGATGGACACGATATGAGCGCGTGTCGTAGTTGTACGTGTTGCCTAAACGTCATGAGGCTTCAGCTATCAATGTCCGGCTCTGATGTGATGTAAAATCTGCTTCAGAGATGGCATTACTGGAGGTCTAAGCTGTAAGTAGCTAGAAGGAAACAGCAATCCATAGGTGCATAGTGAGGACTTGTGTGCTAATAATATACATACTATATGTCGATGATAATTCCATTGGATTCTTGTCTCAAATACACTAGCTAGAAATTAGTTGGGCATCCACTTTTTCTTATGCATTCCGGAAATTAAGTATGCAAATTTGCTGTATTTAAAAAATGAGTGAGATAAGAAACAATTATATTCACTGTAAACTGTCGAATTACAAGTCATATACATGGTGGTGATTTACCGTAATTCTCCTCAAAGTTTTTGAAAACACAAAAAAAAAACGTAAAAAATCGTAATTTATAACTCTGAACATAACCTGTCTTCAGAAAGGACAACATTTAACCCGTCGGGCATAGCTAATAGATATACTTCATTAGCAGCATATTCAGTAATCACTCACACAGCAAATATCACTGATTTTATATGCATGCAGACCAATACACATAATCATCCAGATGCGATCTTGCTATTCAACCAACTTTCTTCTCAAAAATGAAAACTACCGACTACTCGGCTTCATATAATATATGCAACCAATAATGAGTTTAATTGAGTCATTCCTCCATGGACACTCACAACGATCCTAGTGAGCAAACGTGGAATGACTGTTTGCACCCTAAAAGCTACCTAGTCTGCAAGATGACATTTTATAGGGTTTTTTTTTGACATTTTATAGTTTGTTTACATAATACCCGTGCGGGAAAATCGCCCTGTATAGGGCACTGATAGCAGCTGTCCCGTAATTTCGATCCGGAAAATTTTTTAGACGAAAAGCGAGATAACCGAGGTGTTTAATATGGAAACTGACCCAGGGGGGTCAGGAAATGGCGCTTCCACCATGGCAATGGAGATGGAGTCGAAGGAGCAGACCATAGAGGAGCTGAGAGCCGAATTGGAGATGGTTCGACAGGAGCTGTCAAAAAAGGACGATGATAAGAAGACCAATGAAAGATTGATGATGATCATCGAAGCCCAGCAGCGGACAATTACCGACCTAACAGTTAAATTAGACCTCCTACTGAAAACCCAGGTACCTTCCCATCTAAATATTACAAATTCTTCCCAAACACTTCCCAAAAATCCCAGTAAAGACAAAGCTGTCAATCTTAAGAGACCGTTAAATAACTCAAGCGATCTTTCCACAGACGACGATACACTCCCTGACGGTTTTACCAAGGTTAAGCCCCGTAAAACGCGACGAAACAAGACCGACACGACAGGCTTTCCTCCTCTCCCTTCACCAAAATCGCAGTCTGAAACA